CACTTATAATATCCCATCGTTAATGGTAATCTGTGTCCTTTGTCTAGTATGAAATGGGTTGTCTTCACCAATCTTGGTCAAAATGATGTAATTTTAGTTGTAGGGAAATAGAGTGGAGTTGTTTTTTTGAGAAAGTTTTCTTGTAGAAGACAAGCAGATGCACTATGGTGGTAAAATAAATGGCTTTATTGGTTTCCAAAAAAAGTTTTAAAACTGAAAGACAGAGATGGCAAAATAATGTTTTTATTTTCAGAGATTGCTGCTGAAAACTTTATTTTTAGGTAGAATTTTAGAAAATGAGAGAATGATATCAGGAAGTTATACTATGGGTTTCAAAATTGTGTTAGAAATTATATAGAGGAACGAGAATAAAAAAGTAGAGAAAGTGTTATGCTGAAGACTTCTCTGATACAAGTCTTTAAAAATTGCATTGAAGGCATTTAGTTTAGAAAAAACGTATTATGATGAATTCTTTATTTTTTCAAATTTTCTGCAGTTTGTTAAAGGAAAATGGTAAAAATTTGCCCATGATAGCTATTTTTTGATAAGAATAAAAAATCAAGGTTTTAAGCAAAGGCAATTTAATAAGATAAAAATGGTAAAGATCTGAGATGTGGGAATGATATTGTTTCAAACCCAGAGACCATGTGCTACTGGTGCAAGATTAACTAACCACAGACCAAGAAATTATCCTGTGGTTTAGCACCTCTGAGAAATTGCGGTAACTTTCCCAAAGCCTAAACTACTCCAATATTGGATCAGAAAGATGGGATTGCTTTAATTGTATCCCACGAATATTGATCACCAGCGAGCATATGCTTGAAAATGAAATTATTTTGTCAACTGGTGGTGGTAATTTGGGCTAATTATTATTTCATTGTTAGTCATTGGTTTTTGTGTTATTTAACAGGGAGGGTTTTTTTTTCTCTTTTAAAAAGATTTTGCCCTTTTTGAATGTGGTAAAGAAAGTTGAAAAAAAAAAACAAAGATTTTGTATGAAATTTCTAATAAGTTGGGTATTTTGGTGGAGGTTTTAAAGTTGGTGGAATTTAGATCTACGAAGAGGTTGTATTGGTCTCATTTAGCCCTTTTAAAAACAAAATGACAGTGTATTTCCATTACCTCCCACAAAGAAAGGAGAAAGAAAGAAGTTCAAAAACTTCCTTCAAAGATAAATTGCTTATTTTCTTCAGATTTAAAGAATAGGGAATAAAGATTAAAGATAAAAAGAAAAGAAAAAAATAGCTCAGCAACAATTGTTTTAATATTTTGGTTCATTTATTTGTGATTTGATATCCTTTAAACAAGTTTAATGTTCTTAAACACTTACTGAAAGTTTGCAGAGTAAATTCATGGAAACATCACTACTTAATTTTCTATCACTTTCTCATTTCTTATATATTTTTAGTTCATAATTTTTGGAACAGCATGTGCTTACAAATATGTGTACCTACACAAAAAAGAATGGTAAGAAAGAAAGAAAAGAGTAAAGTGGCGTGAATTTGCTTCTTCAGTCTTATCTTTTTAAAGAATTTTTATATGAAAAACTATCATTTGTCTGGTTTCAAAAATAAAAGAATCTTTTTTACCCCTTGTTCACATATCTAAAATGCAAGGAAATATCATTGATAATTTTTCTTGGATTAACTTACTCTTTGTTTGATAACCAAAGAGATCCTAACTTCTGATATACTGTTGAAACTGCTTGAGAAATGATTTTATTTTCAATATATGACTTTCGTGTATGCTCCCTAATATAATTATCAGTTTGTGTTGTGGACCATGCGTCTTGGATCTAATATTAGCCCACAAGTGATGAAGAATGATCAATTTGCAATTATCACTAGATACATCATGTACATTGTTGTCAACATTACAGCATAAATATCGGGGAAGTCTGTTCTTCAGCATGGTATGGATAATAGAATAACATCTGAAAATAATTTGAATTGCATCTCTCCCCAACCCTCTTCAAAAATAGAAAAAATAGAAAAAAAAAATAGAGCAGTCAAATGTTGCACTTAGATGCCTACTAATAGTAATGGTAGTGTTCTGTAAAGAAATGTTGTTTTCACTGTTTACTTTTTGGTAAGTGGTTATCTTTAGCATGAGTGAGTACTTCAAATAAGGAAAGTAAAAAAAGCAGAAAAAATTAAAGAAAGTAAATTCAGAAAACTTTCATGTGAAAAGTCAACAAGTGCGCCTGATGATGATAACATTGCATGACTTATGCCTTGTGATTATGAAAGAAGCATCATGCAAACATCAGCCAACTGCACCCATGGCAATACCAGGTACTCTTTTGTCAAAGAGCAGGTCTTCATAATTAAGAAAGCTTGTATCATATCCACCCTGAGGTAGATGCTGGTTTTCCTTGTTCTGTATAATCAGTATTGTTCATGATTTATGGATTTCTCAAAAGCTGTGGACTCCCTCTGGTGAAAGCTGCCTGGTGCAAATCATGAGAGAGGCTGTAATTTTGGAGTTCAATTAACACCCATCCAGGGCCTAATTGAGGGGGGTAGGCTGTGCAAGATTATACATTTTATTCTCAGTTTAATTTACCTGCAAAATATAAAACCTGTTGAACTTTCACACTAGTCTCTTTGGGGTGTGAACGGTAACGCCTTGTAGGCCAAGTTGTGCATTGTATAGTGATCCAGGGGTGACTAATTCAAGCTCTATTGAAAGAGGTCCTGCTCAGCAACTTTTGTAACAGTTCTTGTCCCATTTTTTCCACTTTCTAGGCAAATAAACTTGAATAGCCACTTCCAAATAAATTGATAGAAATTTAAAAGTGCTCAAACATGTGAAACAGATGTGCCGAAAATTTTACTTATAAAAAGAAATTTGTGCTGTAGATGATTGAATTTGGTATTCCACCTTTTTATAGATTTAACAATTAAAAATAATAATATAGAACAAATTTTCAACTACTATCTAAGTGAGAGACTGACAAAACAAGTTTACACACAGGGACATTGGGTGCACCCCTTATTATAAACTCAAGGAGGTATACCCCATGGCACTGACCACACCCACTAACTGATACAGTTAAGGTAACAGGTGCCCTCAGGGAGTGGTACTAAACAGCTATCTGAATGGGTATTCTTAGGGGTAAAAAGGATTTTTTTAGCGTGGGGGTGAGGATTTTGATATGAATAAGTACAGCCCACTGGTAGCATTTTTACTTATTAAAGTAAATAAAAATCCTCTTATGCTGATTTTAGCACCTAACATATGTTTGCTACCTTTTAGCAAAATAAAATAAAGCTGTTAGCATGAAATATTTGATTTTATTGCTAGCTTTAAGATAGCAGCACTGTGCATGAGAAAGAAAAAAGTTATACCTTATTTAAGTTTAAATTGATATGAAAAGTAAAAATATAAATATTAGATGACATAATCATCCTGCGAGGGATGGCATTTGAAAGAGAATAAAGTGATCAGTTGAAAAGAATATGGTCTTTTTTATGTTAAATGCTGGTTAGCGTTGGGTAATATGAACCTTAATGATTCCCTGATTGCATGTCTTATGTTGAGCTTCTGACACTGATAGAGAGAAATTACCAACCGGTGGTAAACACCTTGACTAAAAAGGGGGCAGTTGGCTGTTTGCTGATAATTATCACAATTATAAGAACAACGGCTGTCTTCCCTTGGGCAGCATATTGCACAATATGGCCACATCAGGGCCTGTTCACACTCTGGAATAAATTGGACATAAAATCAATTGACAAAATTTTCTTGTTTGTTATCAACCAACTGGATTTTTTTTTAGAAGTTGGCTGTTTGAAATGCAGTGAGTCTGATGGGTGTCCTAGCTGTGACTGTGAAATGTGATCCATCTGTGGAAGTCAAGCAACACAGTTTTGTCCATTTCTGATCTAAATTTTTACGGAATTTGAACAAGTCCAACATAACTGGTATTATCAGGTGCATACTAGTAATCCTTCCGCCTCTCTCCATTTTGCCAGACACCTCTATCATCTGCATTCATATAAAGGAAGAACAATTAGGAGAGCCTAGATGGAGATGGAAGAACAGATATGAGTGGCTGATATCATTGTTCTGCTGTTGAGGCCCTCCCCCTGATTTTTGACTGACAGAAAATTATATCAGTTATATGTAATGACTGTGATATTGTCAGTTGAAGTGGGCAGTCTTGGCCATAGTGCTCATTTCAGTATGGATTTTTGAAGAGAAACCTTCGAAACTGGTGGATATTTAGTCCAGAGTTTTTTTCTTCTGATATTAAGCACTCCACTGAAGCTACAGTGATATGACTTAATAGACTCTAAAATGACATATTGAATTAATATAGAACTAAAAGGACTTTTTTTGAAAATGGAGAGGAAAACGCATCAAACGAAATTTGAGCACATGAAGGCATAGTATCTGTTCAAGCAAAGCAGGATCACTAGGATTCACATGCAAAGTTCACAATGCTGCATTTCTTACGAAAATGCATCTTAGTCTGGTTATGAAAGTGGATTTATTAACGAGATTTTTAACAATATGGTATGTTGGCTTAGTATCACATCATCGCTTTAATTGATCAGGGAATTGGCAGATAACATTTTGAGATAAAACTTTAATATGTACTTTATTACTAATACATGCCAATGGTGCACAGAGAGCAAGCAAATTAAATTTCTATTCAGCAGAAATTTTATCTTCTCTGGTGAAACATACTTTGAAAAGCATTTGAAATGAATTTTTTTTTTTTTTGTAATATTTGTAATGTGTAAAACAGTTATATTTTTATAATACCAGTAAAAGATACAGTTACATATTTTTTAACAACTTGAAAATGAAGGGCTACTTGTGAAACATTATTCATGTCATCTTTTTTACCAGGTTAATTTTCAAAATGGGAGCACCATCTAAAACTAGAGCACAAATTTTACCAGATTTAGATTATTATGGTGCCTAAGGTTTATCCATCTTTCTGCTGGAATTCTTATTTCAAAGTCACTATTTTTTTTTTCTTGTTTTAGCTGCGGTTTACATATGGCTGCCATGATGAAATAGCTCATATGGGCCTTGAGAAAGTCAGGCATTGCAACTGGATAAGATTTCTGGATACCTCAACAGATCCAGAGTGCATAAACACAGTTGCTTACAAAGAACAGGAGAAAGTGCTATACAAGACAACAAAGCACATAAAACAAGGACAGAAACTTGTGGCACATCTTGAAGGTACTGATAACAAAATGATGGATACACAAATGCATAATACGGACAGTGTACAACAGGAGAGGGAATGCGTGATAAAGATATTAAATGTTAAGTCGGAATATAAACAAGGTGAGGCATCATGGCATGAGATTATATTTTGAGTTTTGCATAAAAAGATTTCTTAGTCAATATTTTGTTCTCTTTCTTCCTCTCGTAATGTATAGATTTCATTTTTCTCCCTGCCATAACTTAGGTATTTGAATGCACAATTTGTAAATCATTTTCTAAAATATCACTATCAGTAAATTAACCAATATTTGATAATAAAAAATGGAGTTTAGGTTTTCTTTCACTTTCCATTATTTTTATATTTATTTATATCTGTGAAATGAGATACATCATTAGATTTTTTAGAAGGGATCATTGATGAAAACTATTGAAAAAAAATAATCTTATTTTCACTCCTCTTTTTCATTCTTAACTTTTTTCTTTACATCATAAACTGGGTCTGTCTCTAACTAATTTGTCCATATAAATTGAGATCATGAAAAACTATTTACAGTTAAATTTTATTGGGGTTAAAAGTTTTACATGTTATGTATAATGATATAGCATATATATAAACCCAACTGAAACCTGTTTTTAAATGATAAATCAGGTGCTATTTTGCCCATCAAAATAAAAAATAAGCACGACTGAAAAGCCCCAATTGATTTTAAAAATTTTGATGATTCATGTATTAATAATTTTTTTTCAGGAATTGAAATGGAGATGAGAAATGCACAGCAGTCAGAAACACCAGAAACCAAGACAGAAACAAATTTAACATATGAGAAGAACAACTTGTCATCCATTCCATCTCGTCTTTATTCTCATGGTGTCCGTAGCTTGATAACCCCGCCAAATTCTGATAAAGATGAAGAGACAAGGTCCACGTACAGTGATACTGCGATATCAGAGGATGACAGGAGTCCTGGAATGGAGGTAACGTCTTAAATGAATTTTTAACATTGAGCTTGGCATATTTTGAAAATCATGATTTTCAAATAATTTTGAATCTAAATAGTTGCAATGAGGTTTGCATTTATTTACAACTGAAGCTTAAGCTTTATATAAGAAAGTTTGACAAAAACTATAAAAACTTAAATATTTTGAAAATGTGTTGTAAAATACTAATAGTGGTACGGTAATATGCCAAACAATTCGACCAAGATTAATTAATTAATTTCATGGAAATGTCAGTTTGGTCGAATTGATTAAAATACAGCGACACGTGTTCGTCAGATTTTGACAGCGCGTGGTATTTGGCGCCAAGAAGTCTGGGCGGTCGATCCCGCTGATCTTTTGGTCGATTGTAGTAAATGTAAGATCTTGCGGTGTTGACTTCAAGAACGTTTCCCCATCTGCATATATATTTCAATCGAATTTGAAGATAAATTGCTTATTCTTCCCAAACTTTTTATTGTTAGCAAACGCGATATATGGTCTATATGAAGGTGTTTACAACGTATTCTACCCACTGTCGATATTTGGTTTCATCCAGAATAGACCTTTTTTTAACCCCCCCCCTCCCCAGTTACGGGCGTGATGAATCAGTCAGCGAGGGCAAGTCTGCTTAATTAGCAAAATTTGTATGTCTATAAGCACTATCATTGTCATCGGGGGCAAAGGAAAAGACAGGTACGTCATGCTTCCAGATTAGATCTTCAATTAATTGTTTCTTCCTCATTGACGAGAGCTATTGAAAGGACAACAATTGACAAAGGACCAAGGCATGCAGCATCTATTTCACTGGCTTGAAAATTTACCGAGTCTTGTCGACGATGTGGTCGAACAATCGGAACAAGAAAAAAATTCTGTCCCATGATTTTGACGTATGGACTAATTGTTTGAGCTCAGAAAAATTAATTTTATAAAATAATTTTTGTGGTCGGATTGACTGGGCCCGTCGAAATGCTTGGCACATTACCGTAGTGTACTTGTTGAGATGTTAATGAAAGGTGGCATCTGGGTGATTGTGGTAGAGGTGACAAGTTGTGGATTGTGCTTGGATGTGATTCTTACCTGCTTTCTGCAAATGATCTTGCAGTTTTACATTTGGGTCTTTTAATTAATTATTTAAAAAGGAATATTTGGAGCACTATTTCATAAAGTTCCTACTAACTCAGTAATTTCAATCTCCAGGAGGGAGCTTTTGAGTTCCCTGGCAATGGTCAGCCAGTGAAGAGAAACCGAGAACGCACCTGGCTACCCTGCGAGGTGTGTGGGAAAAAATTTGATCGTCCCTCTTTATTAAGAAGACACATGAGGACACACACAGGTTTGTAAATATTCTTCAGTTTTCATCTCTGTCAGGTGAAACCCATGTTATTGTTGGGAATATTACTAAATTATTTTTTATTATTATAAATTTTATAATTTAAGATTAGAATTATTAAAGAGAAAATGGTTCATATGTTTAGATGTAAAAAGGAAAAGAAAAATCTTAATTTAGATAGCTAACTTTTTTAAAACGAAACAAGTGAAAGAAATTGAGGTGAAATCCTCATGTTGAAAAATTAACTGTTACAGATAAAAAAAAAAACTATTATATTGAAATATTTTCTAGGAGAAAAACCTCATGCGTGTGACATCTGCGGCAAGGCATTTTCTACCTCCAGTTCACTTAATACACATCGTAGGATACACTCAGGAGAGAAGCCTCATGAGTGTAAGACCTGTGGAAAGAGATTCACTGCCAGCTCCAACCTATACTACCACAGAATGACGCATAATAAGGTAGGATGAACATTTCCAGTGGTATATTAACTTATTTTGAAATAGTAAAATTATTTTGAAATAGCTATTATAGTCTTAATACTGTAATTGTAGAATATGTATGAATTCATTATAAAAATGCATTTGTACCAAATAAAATAATAAAAATATTATTGAGAGGGAGAGAGTTTGTTTTCATTAATATTAGTTAATTGCTTTGTTGACTCGTTTCATTGGTAATTTACTTTAAAGCTGCATATTTCATCTTTGAAAGATGAATATTTATTCTTTTGTTGACGCAATTCCAGGAGAAACCTCACAAATGCTCCTTGTGTTCTAAATCGTTTCCAACTCCTGGCGACCTGAAAAGTCACATGTATGTACACAATGGCTCCTGGCCATTCAAATGTGACATCTGTAACAGAGGGTTCAGCAAGCAAACCAATCTTAAGAACCACCTGATGCTTCATACTGGTAGGTTAACTTGGCTGAAGTCTCATTCACATATGCTTTAAATATTATGTTTTAATTTTAGATGTAATTGAAAAAAATGAGTGAAAAGGTATTTTGTCAAAATTTACTTGAATAAGCTATTAAGATCCTCATAGTTTTTAATTTATTTATTAATTTACTTTTTATTGGAAAACTTGTCACTTTATAGGGACACTCTCTCTCTCTCTCTCTCTCTCTCTCTCTTCTTGTTCTGTTGCTGTGGAAGGAGTTTTGTCATTAAACAGAAAAATAACATTTTGAAGATTATGACATTGGTAAAGGCAAGTTTCTTTACTGTCAGAACATTTTAAAGTCAAATGCTTCTCATTTATTTTAGGTGACAAGCCTCATGAGTGCCATTTATGTGGGAAAAGGTTTGCTCTGCAGTGTAACCTAAAGACACACTTCAAAACACATGAAGGTGAGCGGATGAATGCATAATGCAATAATTCAAGCATAATAATGGTTTGAGAAGGGTTTTGCTGAAGAGGCAGACTTTTTACCTAAATTATTTTCCTCGAATTTTCCATTTAAATGCAGTTTTAAAGAAAATATGGAGAAATGTGTAGAAGTTACTAAGTAAGTCAGGCTTTTATTTGGGTTCATTTTTTTTTCAGGAGAGTCTCAAGAGCATTGTATTAAATGTGGCCGGGCCTCCCTTGTTAGTGCTCAGAGGTTGTACCATGGCTACTGCCAGGCCTGTCTCAACCACAGTCTCAGTCACAGCAGTCTCACCAGTAGCAGTCTACCAACTCCCCCGGCTCCTCCTGGCACAGTGCAGCATCTCCATCCTGCTGTGTCGCCACCTATTGGACGTTTACCTCCACCTGTACTTCAGCCATTACCTCCAGGGCTACTGAGCATGCCAGGACCTATGGTACGCTCCCCCCCAGTGGTCAAAAGAGCATCGCCAAAATCTTTCGCGATCGATGATATTCTTGGTAGGAAGGATGTGAAGAGAGAGGAAACAGCACCGGCAACATCAAGTCCGCCTTCATCATCAGTAACTGTTTCTTCCTCCATGACAAGAGAGCAGTACTCCATGCCTGTTGCATTTAGACCCCTATTGGCTAGTTCATCGGCAGGACATGGGACAATGTTTCCATTACCTCCAGTTTATGTGAACGGCATGATTGAAGCAAGCGCCGCCAGTAGTAAAAACACTTCCCCTCTCGGCATTCACATTCCTGGTTTTACAAATCCCTATCAAGCTTTTCCAATGGGACTGTCACACCCTTATGGCCCCATTCCGAGTATTTATGGTGATCATTCCAGAAAACTTGCTCTGGGTGGACAACACTTCTGATGACTTAAAAGCTCAGTAAAGTTTTGTCACTGTGCAGTATGTTTAGTTAAAAAATGTGATTACATGTGACTGTTAGAATAGAGCCAATAGAACATGGGTGGTACAATTAGATTGCAACCCTTGCTCAATTAGTACATTAAAAAGGCACTCTACCTAATTTTTTTCCCTGTTATTGTCCTTTTGTGTATAGGGTAGCAATGTCAATATGCAATCAAAAAAATTGTAACTAGCACAGAAATTAAATGTTGTTTTATTTCAAATGTTGAAAAAGTTGTTACTGATTTAATGTTTGTTATACAGTTAACAGGAAACTTGTTTTTGATTACAAAATCTGTTGATTCAGGGTTGTGTGAAGGAGGCAGCAAAAGTTTTACTCTAGTCAGTTTCAAAAACTATATAGAAATATAGTGACAGTCATTGGAATAAATAAGGGTGATTCAAACCAGGTTTCTAAATGTTAAATATAATTTACAATGGCATATTAATGTTGCTAGTAAATTGTACATAGGACTGCTCAATGTATGGGGTATATAGTTGGCCATTTTTTCATCTACCTCAAAATTTTCAAACATAATCACCCATTTATTTATTTATTAAGGTAGTTGTGACGATTTATCTGGTGGGTTTAAGAAGTGGTAGATACTATCACATTGCAATACACAATACCAAGTCACTTATACATTTTTCTTGTAAAATAATGGTGGGATTTTCAGAGAAACTGATATTGGGAGGGGGACTAAAATTATTAAACGTACAATTTCATAGTGGTTATATGGGATTTGAACAGTCTAATTACGTTTGTGAATGCAAATGATATTGTTATAATTTTCTGTCTGAATGTAGGTAATTGTTTTGTCAGTGACATATCCATAAAGTCCAGAAAGAATTAGTCATTAGTTACTTTGTCACATACATGTGATACATTCAAGAAACTGACATGTACGTACATACCTGTTATTATCAGGGAGTTGGAATATTTTACATCAAGAGTTTATAGCCTTGCCAACTTTGAGATTGCCTGAATTACTTTTTTTATTCAATTTCAAAGCCATTTTGACTAAGAGTCAAATGTAAGAAATCTCATTTAAAAAGAAACTAGTCAGTATTATATGGGAGCAGTATTACCTTTTTTCTCTTTTTCTTTTTTACATAAATCATTTGCTCAGAATATCTAGCCGGTGCCAGCTTTTTCTCTTTTTGTCGAATGCCAGGATTTTGTGATATATGGACAAAACATGATAAAAAGCTTGCCAGGCCATATTATATTAAGTATTATCTACACGCCTAAGCATAATCATATCAGTAAAGTGAAGGTGGGCGTGTCTTGCTCAAATCTATAATGATCTATTACGAATCCATGTACATATTAGTAAATGTATTAGTGGATCAATTCATGTTTAGCTGTGTTAGAAGTGTTACTGTGCATTTATTACTATGCTGGTGAATGGCATGCTGTAAGGTAATTAGTTATATTGTGTGTTTGTGTTTAGTATACAGATATTGTTAATTCATGACAATCAAAATTGTGTTGATATTTATGTTACCACTGCTGCACATGTACTTACAGTATCCGATATCCATTCAATGAGTTTGTTAATTTGAGGGAAATCTAGTTGATTGAGTTGAGGATTCTGTATGAAGATCGCACAGAGAGTTCACTTGAATAGCACTCAACTATTACAAGTGGGCAAAATAGCGGTGTCGTGCGTACATCTTTTTATTTTTGTGTGTCATATTATTAGATATCAAAATATATGTACAGAATGCATTTCTACATAGTGTTGCAAAATGTATTGGTGATATTTTATCTGTTAAAACAGATATACATGTAGTAGAAAAAGCTTTAATTATGGCCTAGTTTGTATCATCCAATGAGGATGATTTGCAGGAATGTGTCAGTCAAGCACGAGCAGACTCCCATGATTCCCTGAACTTTTAAATTGAATGTCTCCAGACAGTTGTGGTCATTTTATTTTAAAATAGCAGGTAATTAAAGCAAAATTTAATNGGTATCGCCTCTCTGATCCTCTAGTATTCAATGGGTCCATCGGTTAATGTTCCATTTGGATTTCAGTTGTAGTTTGAATAAGGCTTGAAGGTAAGATTAGCAGTAATTACTTGGGGAGTTCTCCTGTGTAGCATTGTAGTTCTATTTGCCAATACAGTTTTGCTTTTTTTCCCAAAATTGTGAAACCTCAACAAAATTAGGAATTTTGAGCTCAAGATAATCAAAAAAATGTAGATTGTAAGCATTTCCAAATCAGTCAGCTGTTATTCAACTGGACTTCAGAATGTTGTCATTCCTCACCAAGATAAAACTTGGATGTTCTCTTTTTAGTATTTTTTCTTATGTGAAACATTGATGTAAAACCATGAGGTGGCACATACAGAGCAGCAGCACTTTTTTTTCTTTTGTGTGTAATAGGTGCAAGCAGTTATGGTGGTTCAAAAAATATTTTGACAGTTATTTAAATTGATATGTTCTGTGATTTTCATATGGTGTTGATACGTGCTGTATCGTTGCCTTGTCAAACTCAGGAATTGGTACAAATAAAAGTATCTAAAAATAAATTGTTGACTGTTAAGAGTTTGGAATCTTTCACAAGCTTGTCTTCCAATCTTGTGATCATTTCTCAAAAGAAAAAATTTCTTAAAGTGTGCAATGGTCCGGATATGGCAGTTTTTTTGAAGTTCTGGTATAAAAATGAAAGGTTGTTATTTTGGATTGTTATGATGTCAGTTGTGTTTGGTCATTTGCAGTTATCAAAACCTGTAGGAAAAATGGTTAAAATGGTACATTAATTGTTGCTAGAAAAATGGTTCCAGTATTGATATTTCATGACCTATCCCTGTGTATTATCGAGTCCAGGGCTCCCTGGTGTAATGCTTGTCACATCTGTCTTACACACAAGTCCTCAGTTTGTCCCATACAAAACTTTTGATACATCCACACTAATATGGAGGTTTCCAAATAATACTTAAATCTGATGAAACTGTGCTATAGTAACCCATAAATTAATACTTGGTTAACTCTTTTGCAAGGCTCTTATGTTGTAATACATGTACTTTTATTTGTAGTTATGTTCTTTTATATTGATTCAGTTTAAATTCAAAATTAGAGCAGCCCACAACATGCCAAATCCAACACGACAAACTTCATGTTTTTTGTACATTCTATTCTATTCTAATGCATCCACTTAGAATAAGTTTATCTGAAATAATTTCTTTAAATTAGAGAGACATAATTCTGTAAGTCGTTTGATAATTGCAGCCATTTCACACTTTTCACAGAAAAAATATAAAGAGAAATGCCAACAGTAATTCTTCTTTGGGATTTTTATTTCAAAAATATATACTCTTATGAAAATAGTGTTACATCTTTGACCTCTGTACCTTTAACAAAAATGATGACTTCCTGATGCAAAGAAATTCAACCATGAATTTAGGATCACGGTATTTCAAAACAAAAACGTAATTCCATTAATATTCAATTTCAATAAAAAAGTCTGCAGCAGTTATATCTTTAAATAACTTGCCAATGAAGAGATTTCCTATCATTTGCTGCAAAAGCAATGGATGATTTTCTGATAAAGGCTCTTAATGCCCTGCACTGTCAACGCAGGTCACTGGGCGAATGAGGGATAAAATTAGCAGTTACAAAAACCTCCCCCCTCCCTCTCATTCTTCTAGCCTAGGGATGCATTTGAAATTGATGACCAATTGGGACCAATTGACATGCTAAAAGGTGAGAGGTCCCTCAATGTTCCAATACTTATACATTATCACTGGCAACTTATTATTTTATGCTTACTACAGTGCAGAAATTGCATAATAAATGTACCACAAACTGTCTGGAAAAGATAAATAAGACAAGGTACCACAAGATACTACAAAAGTAATTCACTGGACACATTTGCCAGTAAAAAAAAATAATCAGAAGAGATATTTGGGTGGCATGCATGCCATGTCCTTAGGTTTCACCAATGACATATATAACATGTTTGTAAAGGGTTTTAATTAATAGCTAAGGGTCATAATTAAAATTATGAAAAAACAGTGAACAATGCAGCTGCTAGGAAGTCCATTGTATCGTCAAGACTCTTCCAGCTGTTCAGTGAAGTCAGTTAATGTGGCAGCATCAAGTGGTATGAAGAGGTGCTCAATACCATCAATACCCTAGAAATATATAACAGGAACACATTTACTGCAAAGTGATCAGTAACTAGTTATCTTAAAATGTTTAACACAAATTACTGATAGCAACCTTTCATGTTAATTTTTTTTTTTTTTTTTTTTACCTTAGCTTTTATTATATATATAATAAGTTGTAATCCTAATAATTTTACCTGTAAACAGCACTGAGACGCTAGTGTAGTGCGGTTTTAAGAAATAAATATTATTATTATTATTATTATTATTAATTGTAACACAAAAATCAAGGCATTATGCCATTTCAGGGAAATGTCATCATCACATGATCAAGTTTTTTTCATGTGATCATATTATATGTCATGTGATCATAAAATGTCATGATCATGGAGATGTGTCATGTGATCATGGTAATATGTCATGTGATCATGGTGATGTAAAATGTGTGATCATAGTGATGTATCTGGAAAACCGGTAAGATGCCTATTATAAATACAACAGTCTTTCATGCAAATGATGGAAATTCTACTTGTTTCTTTTCTTTCAAAATTAAAACAGAACAGTCCTTACTTTTCTTGATTTGATCAACTTATGGTCTCTGAATTCTGTAAGTTGTGCTTTTAAAGTGAGATCACTATTGACGAGGAATGCCTCTCGGCACTTCTGATACAAATCTTGAAAGGAAATACCTATAAAAAAGCAGCAAAATAACGGTCAAGGCATATGGTTTCAATACACTTTCATCTTTTGACATTGCTATCTTTAGAAATGTTATCATATTCTGATAAAATCATTTTTTAATTGCATGGAAGTGGATAATTACATGAGGTATGAAGTAAATACTAGTAGCAAACACAAACATTTCCAACTTTTTAAAATGAAAAGTTGGGTGTTGATAATTCTTCATTTTTCATTTAATTAAATTCCAATTATTTTTAATCAATGTTATGCTTCCTTAACCATAATTACAAGAACATTTCCTAACTGTGACAGGAAAATATGGTACAAGAGTAATAAATTCAAGAAAGACAGATAAATATATTATATTCTTCGTTTTCCATTTAATTAAATTCCAATTATTTTTAATCAATGTTATGCTTCCTTAACCATAATTACAAGATCATTTCCTAACTGTGACAGGAAAATATGGTACAAGAGCAATAAATTCAAGAAAGACAGATAAATATAACTGGACTCCATACATCCTGACTGTTCTCCTAAGCAGGCTCTGTCACACTCTAGCATATAGAGGCACATATGAGTATTACATGTGAAATCTACTGTGAGCAAATGAAATTGCCCTTTATATCCAGGGTATGAGAAAGGACATAGAAGGAGTGTATAAAATTGTTTATTAACATGCTCAAAATGTTTAATCTCCCCTAGCATATATTAACATACATCTTTGTTTACCTGCACACTCGGATCATATAAAATGTAAGTATTGAATCCCTTGTGTTTGTCTGCATATGAATATTTCCTTCTAATATGTTAGTGCTATAGGCAAGAGTGTGATAGTACCTTCAATATAATGTTAATTTTTTTTTTTTTTTTTTTTTCCATTTGAAAGATACCTATGTAAGCAGGGTTGTCCTGGCTGTCAAGCTGATACTGAACAACAATCATGAAAATCTTCTTGGCATTGGGAGTCAAGCTCTGCATCACGTTGGTTAACGAGCTCAGAGCAAGAGCACCTGACTGCTGCACCAGTAACGAGTTTTCATACGATGTCTCCTCCACATAGGGAAGATAAGTGGTGGTGTCATACCATAACCAGTTGAACCGACTGACTTTGGTCTGGTCCCACACTGTGATTATAAGTATAAATTATCAACAAAGACCATTTCAAAACAGTTATAAGAAATCATATTATTTCTTTTTTTCTTTCACATGAACTTTGTATATATTTTAAATACTAATGGACTTTTTAAAAAACGTGCAGTTTTCCAGACAACATACCTCAAAGCATTACGAGTATTAAATTAAAAACTATGTTTACTTTGGCAAATTTTCTGTTGTAAAATAAGGCAGCAAGAAATAAACAGATAACAGAAAAAAATCACACACCTACACTATGTTAAATATATGATGTAACTTTTCGCAATAACAGTCATCTTTTTCAGGGCCAATATACTCACTGAGAGGTGCATTAATATGGTCAATAGAGGCTATAATGTAAAGTCCCCTGACTTGAGCCAGTAGACTCAGGACGGACTGTGCCTTCTCGGATCTCAACATGGGCCCATCTATGTTGTGTAATATGAGGAAGACATCTTCATCAGCTGAAACAAATCAGAAAAGAAAAACAAATAATTCAAATGGGCTGGTTTTTAAGCTTCACTTTTCTTTTTAAATTAGTCTAGGAAACATTCTTGTAAGTTTTCAATCCCACATTGGCAAAAGTAAAATGAAATATTTTTAATTTTTATTCAGTGGATGGAAAAGAATTTAACTGTATATATCCAAAATAAATGCCTAGCATGTATTATGCAATACATAAATACTGAGCCATATAAATTTTTTCAAAAAAGTTAAAAGCAAACCAACCAATTACACCAACAATTTAGAAAATAGAAAAATGAATTTATCTACCAAAAATGCCTTTATTGTCTGCTTAAATCAGTGCTTTTTTAAATATATACCTTGAGTCTCCATGTTTTCTTTAATAAAGTCAAGTTGATCCATTGGGCTTCTAAAATTACCCTTGTGGTCTAATACTTCATCTGTTATGGTATTTAAAATCTAAAGCAGACAAGAAAAAAATATGTTCCAATTAGATATCTTTCAAATATAGTATTTCCATAAAAATAAGTGTTCCAGTATTCCAGTGATTGATGTGACAATGTGTTAGGTATGACAGCATTTCTATATGTGACAGCATTTGATTAAAATGAAAATACTCACATTTTTCACAGTGATGCTAGGAAAATATCCATTGACAACTACATGTGTGAACTCAGAGAGCATGGATTTACAGAAAGTTTCCAGAAGCTGTCTCTTGGAGCCCAACCCATGGAGAAGTAGGTTAAACCCATTGCTAGAAAAACACAGGTACATAAACAAAAATACATGACCACACAATAAATTTCTTTTCCACTGAAGTCAAAATTATAAAACATTCTCTCAATCTTTAATCTTTTTTTTGTTTATTGACATAACATTACCATCTTTCTTTAAAGACTAAAAGGAACACACTAAAAATATTTTTTCAAATCTGCACATGAAATAAACATTATTATAAGCTTTCTTCTTTAACAAAAAATGTGTTCATTGCTTTTTAGGCACCCTTCCACATAATTTGTATAATATGCACTACAGCCCCTTGATCAAGTGGATTTTAAAATTATGTCAAAGAATTTCAAAATTAACAATTCCTTAAAACTTTTTACTTACTGTAACTGGAACATCCACCTATGAAACAATTCAATGTGTTCTTCATACAAACTCTGCCGCTCATGGCTGTAAGCTGTAGGTATGTCATGCAGCATGGCCGCCACAGCCTCCTGGTCGAGCCGGGGCGTGTCTAGTCTGGACAGGGTGTGGTCCGAGGTGACCGGCTGCTGACCATGCTCCACAAAGTAGTCTTCAGCTTGGTGGTGCTTTAAAAGAAAGCCGTTCTATTAACACACGAAGAAGTCTGTTTAAATAAAGCTTGTGCTATGCATTTGCACACCAAAACCAATGAGAATTTCTAAATCACTTTAAAGTTCTTTTAAAAAATCTAGGATTTTCGAGCCCAATTGTATTTTCCTCATTCAGACAGGAAAAAACAGCAATTTTGTCCTGCATGCACATCATTGCTCAACTTGCCCCTGCACTTGGATTCTATGTTTTATACCATTTTTAATTAAGTAAATTTGGTCCTAAACATCTGACCAGAGAAGGAAATATTGAAATCTGGCCCTTTTATATGAGGGTTTTTCATCATTTTAAGGTCTAAACTGAGAAAGATAAAATTTATTGTTTTGCAGGATATGCTGACATAAAAAAAAAATGACTTTAGAACATGTTCAAAAATATACACTTACAATAGTAGGTTCTGCTCTGGATCTCCGAGACTTTGATGACCTTGCCCCATTTGAAGACACAGATTTCCCAGTTGCTACACCATTAGTAATAGACTTCACACTGGACGACTGTGCAGTGCTGCCACCTTCAGTTGGTGGTGCTGCAGGTATATCAGTGCTGCCATCTTCAGCTCTGCTGCTGGTTTCACTGTTGATCTCATCATCTGAGGACACATCACTGTCAGAAGATGACTGCTCTTCTGTGGCAACTTTACATATAGAGAATGAAATATGAATAAAAAGTTACGATTACAAATAAGACACTCACAACATGCATGCACATGTGCATGGCATGCAAGAGCGGATTGAGGCCGTCTTCTGGGTCTTCCGGAAGACGGTCAGATTTTGAAGTTTACATTGACGGGTATATAATTTTTTTCTGTCAGAAAGCAGTCTAAAGTGGAGGATGGATCTACAAAGATAATTTGGAAGACTGTCAGAAAATATCTCTGGATCCACCCCTGGCATGGTCCATAACTTAATATTATAATAACTCTCTCAATAATGCACATGCACACATACACATCTGTCAAACTCTTGACCCATCAGAATTTCACACCAATTAAAATGCAAACAAATACAGCAACTTCAATGCTATTATAATCAGAAATTTATAGAAAACATATCCTGTTCTGTCTTGAATCACAGTTTGGCCAAATTTGCTGGCCAATGTGAATGTTCCTTATCTCACCTGCTGCATTTCTCTTCTTTAGTCTGTATGGTGTTGTGATCTCCAGCTTGCGGACTTGTCTCTTTGTTCTTGGGGTGCTGATCACAGTGTCTTTATTCTCAGTGCAGTCTGTGGATTTTTTACCTAAGCAAATAAAACATATTTTAAGTGCCAGTTAATAAACTGTCACCCGAGCAATATATGCCAGAACACTTCAAGTGTCAGCAAAAGGTGGGCAGGGTATCATGTAACATACATACTGAGAGAAAGTACTTGTATTTATATCACCACGGTCACATAACATCTCTAGGTATATATTTTAAATGTTACAAATATTTCAGCTGTATTTGAACATCACAGAAATAACTCAAATGATACTAGGGCAAATAAAAAATTTTTTTAATGACTGTAAGTCCATCTTAGAGCTGGGTTCAAATATGACTTCAACTGTCAAGTCCTATTTTATCTTTGTATTGCATATGAATATGGCCTTTAAACTATTTGAACTTGAACATAAGCATATCAAAATATGCTTATACAATGCTGACATTCATTTGCTACCATACAAATCATTCATAAAGATATTAATATAAAGACATCTAAAATACTGATCTTCATTTCCTGCCACATTTTTATCCTTCTAACCTACCAGATTTTGGTGTCTTCTGGGATTTAGTGGAAGATTTTGGCGTTCTTATCCCCTTCCCTGATTGCTTTAATGGTGTGGTTTTTGGCGTTGAAACCTCTAAGGCTGAACATAATAGAAAGAAAATTATCAATTATGAAAATATCTAGCAGTTATTCCAATGATTTAGAATTTTTCAGTGAGTTGTACTTACAGGTACACATACTGTCCTCCATTGTCTAATATTCCTATCTTAGTTCAACATATTAGAAAATGAAATATAATGTGATTGTGTACTCATTAAAGTATGTATTTATTTCTAAATCAGTCTTACAGTTTTAAGAAAACTCTAATTTCAACTAAGTTACCTCCACAAAGAAGTAATTTTTTTTTGGCCTCTTGGTCAACAGCCCAAAATGGATGAATTTTGACAACATTTTTATATTTTCAAATACATGACTTCAAGAGGCATTATCAGGCAATGTCATGTCTTCAGTATTGTCAGGTTCATCAATCTACAAATTATAACTTTTATATGGTGCACTTCAGTGCTTCAAAAATACAGCTACGCAATCACAGCAAAAATTACAGTGAATCTCATAAAATCCTCTACCATATGAGACATTTTTTCATAATTTTCTGAAACATGTCACCGTATGCCTCACCTTTCTGTGACATTTGCCCTGACTTCTTGGTAGTTCTGAAACTGAACACATCTCTGGTCAGAATGTCATCCCCCGACCTCTGTCAACACTGGAACAAAGGAGAAAATTACACATTCACATCAGGCCAAACTTGGTCCCAAAATAGACCCGGCTGACATCACCTGTTGATTTCACAGTATTCAACATTTTATTAATTTAAAGGTCCCTGGTAGTATTTTGGGGACTGATCTGACAGTAATCTTGTCACATGGTGATGTGAACTGGTCTAACACTGATCCTGAATGTGGGTTAAGCACCCAGGTAGATTACTGTATGGTCTGAAGAATATATTTAGAAGAATATGCTCTGAGTGATATTCCCATCTCAAGCAAGTTCTTCATAGCCTGCTGATACAGATGCATACAGAGCTTATCTGTAACACCAGACCCCAGTTTCACAAAATAAATAAATAAATAAATAAATAAATAAATAAATAAAATAAACTTAAGTCAGTTCCCTGGCTTAGTTGACTAGGATTTCCATGTGAGTACTGTAACACTCTTCTTGATAGAGTAAAATGTGTCAAATGACCATGTAATGTTGATCAATAACAAATTCTTAGACAGAAAAGCTGACTTCAGTTTTTTTTTAACTTATTTATTTATTTATTTTGTGAAAGGTGAAATTAAAGGACTTTAAATAGAGCCATCATTGATCTTGTCTTGGTGATTCATCTGTTACACTGGTGACTGAATATACATGGCTTGTGAAACATTATATCCCAGAACTCCTTACCCTCGGATGGCCTGAAAACTTCACTCTCTCCCTCACTGCTTAGCTCTTCCTCTTCTTCCAGCTTAGAGGCATAGCTCACCGATTTCTTTGCAGATTTCCTGTTCCCATGTGACCCCACTGAGAGAATGGACCTTCTCGGTGTTTGATAAAGTTTTGAATCTAATAAATAAAAAAAACGTAATGAGTTGACGACTGCACAGATATCCAAGCGGCACTTATGTGCAAATTCTAAGTAAATTTTCAGTAGGTTAATATGTTAAATATGAATTTGTGCAACTCAGCTAAGAAAGGGAGCACACGTTTTAAAAATTCGATGTTTGTACTGTTAACGTTGTCAAACATGTGCACCTGTCCTACCCCCCTCCTAGTACTGATACGTACACCACTTTTACCGCAGATCGTAAATCAAAGTTGAGCAGATTTTTTAATCGGTCAGAAGGGACAACAATGACCCTAGACATTGCACTAAATGAATATCACTAGAGATAGTAATGACAATACCATCTACATGAGTGATGTGCTGTAAAGCTTCTTCGTCACCAATAAATTTCACAGTCACGTCTTTCTCGCAGGGCGCTGCCATCTTGCCAAATTTCTCGGATAACAGGTCGCTGCGAGTTGCCACTCTTCACCCGCTGGGAGAAAAAAAACACACACGAAAAAAGAAAACAGCCTATTACAGGTAGGCTATGTCCCCCTTAAACGAAACGTTCATTTACATTGTATATAAATGAGTGTATATAACTTTTTAGAATAATTTTAAAACTTTGTAAAGTGAGCCAAGGAGCCAATCCACGTTGATTCGTGGAGAAACGCTTATAGAGGGCGATACGGTGCAAGACGAGACAACTTTCACAATAAAGCATGCTAAGTATTTGAAATTTTGGAAATTTGGAATCAATCTTTACATCATATATTACAAAAAGAAAAAATACACAGATACATGTTATAATTCGGTATAATTCATCTATGGCATCCTTAACTTATAAGTTATGTTCTTTACCTGGCTACAAAGATAATAACGTCACAAAAAATAAACAAACAAATAAATGAAAATAAAAATAAAAACTTTGATGAATCAAGGAATTGTCCTTTTGATGCTGATATATTATTCAGTAACTGCTCATAGTAAATCTATATTTTATTCTTTTGGATATGCTAGCTAGCTCTTCTTAATCATGATGATCTTCTAATGTTTAAAAAATCGATGATAAAAATTGATAATTGATCCCCATGCAAAATAGAACTTATTACTTATTTAACAAAATTCAGCTGTTTTATCTCAGTCTACTATACTACCACTACTATAGGCCTACTATACTACTACACTGGCCTAGGTAGTATGTATCTACTTATATGCAATAATTAACATAGTGGGATTGAATCTGATAGGAATTTGGTAAACTACATTACCGCATTATGGCAAATTTGAGAATATTTACCTACCTGTACCTAGCCATCCGTCTTCTTGGTAGGCCTATTTTACAAGGAACGAACTACATAGAATCGGTTATTGGGTGTCCTCCCCCCTTTCCAAGAATAAATAAATAAATAAATAAATAAATAAATAAATAAATAAATAAATAAATAAATAAGGCATTTGAAAAAAATGTGAAGTTTTTCATAATGAAGAAGAGGTTCACTTTCAATATGAGAAAGGAGCGCTAGTGTTATATATACAAAATAAAAAGCTAATAAAATTTTTCTGTATGTCTCTAAAAAAAAAGGAAAAAGAAAAAGAAAAGTCCCGTGCCTTGCCAAAATATAAGGATGGTTCTAGAAGGAGAAAAATTGACCCGAGTCACACTTCCTGAACAGGTGGAAATAATGAAGGTGGGACTTTTATCGAGGCGACTTTAATTACTTAGTCGTGATGATTTATTAGAGCACTCAGTAGGGAATTGGGGAAATAAATGTGCCCAGTTTATTCTTGGGTCAAAGCTATACTATACCTACAAACAATCTTAATAACGACGAAATAAATGACTGGATAACAGAGTATGTTGAAGTCTTTCTAATTAGTTCAGTAAATATAGTTCATGCAATCTCCTTTTTTCTACCACGATCAATACTGCTTTTGGCGCATCTTTGATAGATACGGGCTGGCATACAGTGCCCATAGCAACCAAATCGGCAATAGAAACATCACATCTATCGAGCGTTGTCAAGTAGTAGCCCATATGGTGTGGGCTGGAAAATTCGCTAAGAAATGAACATGCGAGTGTAAAACATTTGAGGTGTTATAGTCCAAAGTGCCCCCAATACAATTACTTTGGGGTCCGCTAACTTCATATTCCTTGCCAATATGCCATGATTCGAACGTTTAGACTAGAATTTGTTTCTATCAATGTGGTGAGTTGACCAGCCAATAGAAGCAGTTAGATTGACAACTACTCTTTTGTGAACTCGATCGTTACTATCATAGGAATGGCAGAAGAGCGCAAGTGACTGCTGCTGACCAACCAAGCCAAGTCCCTTCAAATACGCCAAGGCCAAATTAGCCTTAGACCACGGTGGAAGTAAAGAACAAAACACTCAGACTTGGGCTGTATTCCCAGAGCTTTTAGATCGATCTATCCCCGCGGGGAGTCTCACTAGCTTACTGTCAGATAATCCGGCTTAAATGTCCGTCCCGCCTACTACAGGCTGTAAGGGGGTAATTAACTTTCGTGTCCGCCCGGCTGACAGCTGTTTAGCGTGAACCCCCAGGGAGTTAGGTCGATCTAAAGTAGATCAATCTAATCTCTGGAAATGGGGTCTTGGTGTAACTCGCATAACCGCACGTCTCGCATGAATGCGTTATAACCCGTTCATGGACCGTGGTCTAAATAAGATAGAGCCCTGGTCAGCGGGGGTTATGTGACATCCACTCGTGCTACGCACTCGTGCATGCCACATAACCCTCGGGGTCTATCTATTACTTAGTACCGGCAATATAGGCCTTCCTATTGGTTAAAATGTATAAATTGTTCCGAAGGGCCAAAGAGTTATGCCTTTTACCGACGACTTATGAAAATTTGGCACATTTAGTGTGGTTATCGGTCTTCAATATTTATCAATTTATATTTCATTTAGCAAAGTTTTTAACCAGAAATTACCCTTGCAAAAATGGAAATGGTTTGAAACAATATCAAAGGACACCCTATAGACTATGGTATACATAAAGTACGAGGCGCTGAGCTTTACGAGAAATAGAGCAAATAATTGGCGAGGCGAAACCGAGACAATATTATCTGCTCTATTTATCGTAAAGCCCAGAATACCAAACACAACGCAAGCAAGTACCAAATGGGCCGTAAATCTGTTTAGTGAACGGCAAATGTTAAGTCCCTCACCATGAACTAAGATGTAATATACCGTTTATTAGATCTTAGCCATGAAACATCCCCACTGGCCCTTCCCTTGTTTAAAGGATGGACCGCTCGAAGCTGGGTATCATCCTAATGAAGAAAGTTGCACGACCATGGAGGAAAAGCCTTACTTGGAACTCAGATTCCTTAAGTTGTATTGGTCAAAAATTCAAAGAAAATCACACTAGAGGTGTAGGAAATGTAAAATATGAAAGCGAACTTTTGTTGCAGTAACCTCTGCAAATTGTTATATCTGCAAGTATGAAATAAAACTTGAAATGTTCATTTCTACTAATTTCTTGTCGTCTTCTTTTCTGCGTGATTACTGGAGAAAGTATGCTATAAAACTTGAATTTGTTTAATTCTACTTCTACGTGTTCATCTTTTTCCTGCGTGAGTTGATTAGTGCTAAAAGTCCAGCGACCGTCCTACATGTTGTATCACCTAGTTCCATGCACTGGTGAGTGGCACGCATTCGTGGATGGCGTGACTTTACACGAAATAAAGCATGGCGCGGCCTATTGTCTTTTGACAGGAGAGTGCTTTAAAGAAGGGGTGGAATACAGATAGATGGAAAAAGACGTCAGTCACCATTACGCGTCACCAAATTTGAGTTAACATTGGGAAGACAACACTTACGCCACTTCCAGGCGAGGTTTTTACCCTTTCCCAATTTTATCATCCATTGTCAACCGATGTATGCAGAGATGGTGGCCAAAATGTGTAGACGTCGTAAGGGAACAGTCGCTCTACTGTTGCTGTTAGGGGCTGCGGCATTGGTTCACATGTTGATATTTCTTTTTATAGGTAAGGTAAAGTTCCAATGGGAACTTAACAGTTAATATCGTAATTCAATATTTCAACAGCTTATCCAGCTGTAAGGCTCTAAAGATAATTTTAAAGTAGAAATGGCCGGTGCATATGCACTGTACCTTGAACGTTTTCAGTCCAAGAAAGCTATTCTCAACTTGATATTAGTACGAGAAGAGCCAGAAATACCACAAGCAGAATCAAATTTTGTTTTCAACGATGATAAACATTCATAATGTAATCGTAACCACATAAAAATAGAAAAAGAAGTGCTCTCCTGTGTGTTTATTTTGAAAAAATTGATAAGATAGGTGACATTGTACATACCATATATAATTATATATTTCAAAAATAAAATTCTATAAAAATATGAAACATTGGATAAGATTTGTTACATGCGAATTTCTATTTTGAACAAGAATTTTATATTTGACAAGCACTATCAGAGATAGTGCAGTAATAACTAGGATTTTTTTCGTGAAAATTCATTTTGGCGGGTTAATCCCCTGCAGAGTGTTTTTAATTTTTTATCGATTAAAATGTACAGTTTGATTATATTCTATTCAGGCGACCCCGTTCTTATTCACATCGAAAACATGAAGGAGAGATTATATATGCAGGATGTTATACGAATAACGTGTATAAGAGGCCATTCCGAATGAAATATCCAAGTATCAACTGGCCCAAGGCTCAATTATAGCGGACCCTACATGAAAGGAAGACCGCTTAATCCTGTAATGGTCTCTCCGCCTCCCCACGCGTCATCCCTGCAGGGGCACAGTAATTAATCTCGGCTCCATTCTACCAGACGCATAGGGAGGCGCTTGAGAGGCGGAGAGATCATTACAGGATTAAGCGATCTTCCTTTCATGTAGGGTCCGCCATATTTGAGCCTTGGACCAGTTGATACTCGGATCTTAAATTCTGAATGGCCCCTAAGTTATTCATCATCATCAGAGACGGAAGGTTCAAGGCTGACCCGCCGTGGCACATGCAACGGTACGCCTCCAACAGTCCCGGTCCTGATGAGTTATTACAAGTTGGTAAATCCTAGAATGCGACGTAAGTTATCAGAAATACCTCCGTGTGTGCATCAGTCTGTTTCATTTCAGATGGCCTATCGAGAGGTCAAGCCACAGACTTAGCAGAAGAGATAGTTGCTATTGTACCACCGGTTGGCAAGGCTGGCTCTGGCGTATCACCAGTAAAAGAAAATCTTCACGAAATTCACACTGTGGGCGTAAAACCGCCGCCCGTCAAGTCATCTTCAGGAGAAATCATACACCTGGATAATCAAGGTTTTCTTCGTTTATTGCCGGCTGCCATGCCAACAATATATGGACCCAAACCATCCGTGTCAACATTCCACAAAGGGGGTTCGTTAACCACAGCTCATCAATTTGGTCAGTATTCAAATACGACCTCAGACGTTGTCATGTTGTGGTCACACTACACCGCAATTCCGCAAGCGTTAATGAATAAAATAGACACGTTTGTCAAGTTAAATCGTGAGAAAAGTCTGGTTTTTGTATGTGGAAGTCGTGAATGTATGAATCAAATAGACGGCAAGCTATGGAAACACGGGAAATCCCTGCGGTTACTGTTGCCTACGTTAGCAAAGGATACACCTCTGGACGATTTCGTTTCCAGGTCAGCGATTCTCAAATTGCTCATGGGCCATAGATTTCAAGTACTCGTGCATGAAATAAGTGTTTTACTCGCACTGTGGACATTTGGTGGATTGTACATAGATACTGCATCAATAATGACGTCAAAATTACCAGATCAATATTTCAAGGGTGAATGGGTGGGTAATGAGAGTATGTTTTCGATATCCAGATTTGAACGACGTTCTCCGTTCATCAAAAATGCCATGGCTGTGATTCAGTCGGCTTATAGTAGCCAAAGTAGAAGTCAAATCCAAAAATGGGACACTGATTCGATATTGTTGAGTTCAAAAGTTCTAAGCCAGCTAGACAATAGACAAGTTGAAGTGGGTCCTCGAGAAGATGCGTTAAATTTCTCTCGACGTGACCACTATGGGGTATTGACTTTTGACCATCGAGCTACTGTGGCAAAAGATATCAACGCCGGAGATGAGATTCAGACCTTAGCAGCTCTCCAGTTTCTTCCTTTTGTTGATCGATTTGTGGACCGTGACACATGGGACGTCACATGTATAGAGACTCATGCGCCGTCAGACAATGATGCCAAATGTGTCAGTGTGACAGAATACACCAGATTTATAACTCACAGTAATCCAAAGAATAGTTCTTTTTATTTGACCAAAAGCGAAGTTGGCGATGGCAATTTTGAAGCTAAAGCTAAGCTAAGAAAAGGGTCCACTGTCTCCAGCCAAGCCAATAACCCCAATGAAACAATTACGATATTTCTAAACGCATGGTATAACTCCGCTGACATGATATGGCCACCAAAAGGTAATCTTAATCCTTTAATGTTATCGATGTATTTTGGACCAAATTTCTGGAATAAGCTTTTAACTGTATCTGGGGAGAATTACCTGAAAAATCATGGCCCTGTAGGAGCTCGTGATGAAAACACATTCAGAGTTTTACGAGATAAAAAATTTTTGGTATATATGTCGGCCTGTTTGACACTTTTGATGCATAATCCTAATCTGGAAATTACAAGAGAGGACGTTCTTGTCGTCGACGTGGATCAGCGAGCTCTGGAATTAATTGTTCCTTATCACATACGAAAATCGGCAATTACTGTTACCCATAACTTGCCCAGTTCGATGAAATTTGACAGAATAGCGCGCTATGAAGCAGCACACCATTTAATGGAACTATATTCGCGCGCAAAACTGGTTTTGACGTCACGCATTCATTGCGCTCTTCCGTGCATTGCCATGGGAATTCCAGTGGTGTTTGTGGAAACGGATGTCTTACCTGGTGGAGGAGGCAATCGATCAGAAGGTTTAACTAAACTATTCCATACAGTAACGGTGGACAGAATGATGACGTCATTCAAGGGGTTGGAAAACTTTAACTGGGACAAACCAGAAAACATAAAGCGTGAAATTTTTGCTCGCTTCCGCGCCACACTGTGGCACGAGATTAGAAAATTTCCTGCATTTCGAGAAATAGCTATTACCTTTGGGATAGTTCCTTTAAAATCATTAAGGCGATTTGAAGATAAGAAAAGCAGTGTGTTGACGTTCTTTCAGGTTTACACGTCGTCTGAATTGACGCAGAGGAATCGACGTTCACTCGAGAGTATTTTTTACCACCATCCCAACGCGAGAAGTGCGCATTTTAAGCAATATTCTGTCACATAACAAGGTTTCTGCGTTTTCTGAAGCAGGCTTTCATGTACAGGTGGAAAACTACACCCTAAGAAATTTACTAAAGAATATTCAAAATCTGGATTCACAAACTTTTACAAATTGCTCGAAAACTTTTTTGAAAAGAATACCAGTTATTTCAAAAGGAAAATTTTGGTATAGTCACGAGACCGACCTGATAAGGATTGTTTTGCTTTATCTGTATGGTGGCATTTATATGGACACTGACGTCATTTTAGTTAAGAGTTTAAAAGATCTGAATAATGTAACTGCATTTGAAAACAGAGCTAAGTCCATGTTAAATGGGGCTGTTCTCAAGTTTGATAAGCACAATCCTTTTCTCCGTGAGTGTATAAAAGAGTTCTTAGACAACTATAATCAAACAGTTTGGGGTGCAAATGGACCAAAACTCCTCACGCGCGTGGCGAGAAGACATCCCACGTGGGTGTGTGACGTCGACAGTGCTGAAGATTTGCAAACAAATAAGTCCTGCATTGTGAGACGTTTATATCAGCAATCATTTTACCCAATAGAATATCAGAATATAACGAAAACCTGTTTCATTGAAAACAGCACGTTTGATCTTCTACATGTAGTGCATACTGAGTCATTTGCTGTGCATTTATATAATAAGTTTTCCCAAGGATATACAATGGCCACCGCACCTGGAACACTGTGTAGTTACCTTCTGAACAAATTTTGTGTCTTCTGCGGAGATTTTGTTTAAATAGTTAATAATGCATGTAGTATGAAGACATCTGATAAAGGGATTTGATATACCGACGTGACATTCAATATGGATTTTTTTCTAAGTCATTTTCATCAGATTTTTCCTATTTTTTGACTGATAAATGAAAATAAGTATTAAAATTGTGTTTAATGACTTTAAATAGTCTCTTTGATATCATTGTGACATCAGTTCTTAAATTGAATCAGTCAGTGATGCAAAAAAAAAAAAAAAAAAAAAAAAAAAAAAAAAAAAAAAAAACATTCCTAATTCATATGACAACTATTAAAAGTATTACAACTATTACAAAATTTTCCAAATTATCATCAGTAAAAGAGTTACACGCCCCACAAAGAACCTTCACGTCAGTGTCTAGTTTTCTTTATTGAGCTCAGATTTCACCTGTACCCTTAGCAGTCAAAAGAGCGACGGCCACTGTTGCGTCTGCACTCATCTGGCTGCTACCCAGGTTCTCAAGCGGCAACGCATGCATGGGGACGGGCTTTCAGAGTTTAATCTGGAAAAATATTCCAGGCATCGGCGACACAATTGAGTACACACTTCTCAATTCACATATCTTTATGTGGGATCTGAGTGTCTTGAAAAAAGAACGCATTTTTACCTGGGCATACCTTTGAACCTGAAATATTCCATAAAACATTTACGGAGACCGATGGTTTCAATAGCAACAAAGTCGCTAGTTTGTTGCAAAATCATTGCTTCACTGATACTTTGCCTTCGTTTAGTACTTTAAAAGCCCTTGATATGAGGGTACTCTAATGCTAAATTAAGTATTTGTCTGTATAGCATGGTGTCACAGGTCTTGGAAGACTTTTTTCTACCTTTTTTGAAGAAAAGAAGACATGTTCAAAAGCTTTTTATAGTTTTTGTTTTCTTAATAATAATAATAAAAGTTATGCTTATTTAGCCAATTAAATACATTAAGTACATACAATTGTCACAGGAATATAATGATAGGAAAGACGCACATGCATTACATATGCAAATCCCGAGATCAGAGGTTTTAATCCTAACTGGTGTCCTATAATTAAGAAAACGGCAAAAGGCAGATGGATTAAACTTCTTAGAAACCTTTTACACTCTCTTAAAGTTAAGTCTCTCTGAGTCTTTCTGAAGTCTCTCTGATATCTGAGGGACAAGCATTTTCAGGACTGGTTTACTCTTACATTAAACACCGTAACGTACTATGGTTTATCAGAGTCTGAGTTATACATGTCATACACAGGATTCTCCATGCTCGACCTTGACCCCGACAGCTGAACCTTGTCCGCATGCTCTGAACTGTAGAAAGCCAGGACGCCCGACTGCTGCCTCTGCTTACGCACCACATAGGCAATGATAGCTAGGAGAGCCACAATGACAACACACAAGATGATCACGCCCACAACATTACCGCCGGTCAAACCAACACCTACAACAAATAGAACGAAGACAGGACTTTTCTCATGCATCGCATAGTGCTGTAAAGTAGACAAGTTATGTGTTTGAAAATACTGCTGGGTTAATTTGTGGTTATTATTAAATGAGAAATGTCCTCTGTGAAAAACACATTTTTATAATCATTATGGTGTCAAATATTATCTAAAAATAAATAAATAGATAGATAAATAAAATCAAGGACACTTAGCTTTTATTCAATTTATGTGGATTCTTAATGTAAACAAGCAATATGCACTTCGTCAGCAGTTTAACGCTGAAGAAAAACAAGGGGTATTTTGCGTCCTAAAATTGTCAACTGGATGACTGCGTTCACCACAGAAATACACTCAGTTTTTCATTCAAAATTTTTATAAGTACCTTCCGTTGTGCTGTCTGGTTTGTTCCCAGCTTGCTTCTCAGGCACCACTGGTGATGGTGCCAGTGTGGAAGCAGCAGTGCTGCCCCCTGGTTGAGACGACTGAGTAGGACCCGTCCCGAGTGTGGTACTCACTGTTGTAGTAGAGGTAGTGGGGATTACTGGAAAGGAATTGCAGGAGTTATAACTATCGTGTGATCTTTCAAAAAGAAAAAAAATAAATTAATTGATATCTAATATGATCAATTTTGAAATAAATCCACATTTCCTCACTTCTTGGTGTGCTGCAAATGAAGCCCATGTTGACGGAGCAGTCGTTGTCGTTCCACTCTCCGGTGTCGGCTCGATACTCCACACAGTTCTCGTTCCCGCCATTATTACTGGGCTCGCCCTGGGCCCAGTGGGTGAAGTCCACGGTTGATCCATCGTACCATTCAAAGGGATCTGTAATTTTAAAACGAAAACATTTAAATAAGATTCAAATATTACAGATACTGCAATATATGGGGATTATTCAATGGTATCATTTAAATTGTGTTTTGCTGAACAAGTTGGCGAATGACTGTTGCCCTAAACCAATAAAAACAATGGCGCTGAAACCAGTAACCTATCCATTTTTATTTTTATTTTCCTCGTTCAAATTCGAATGTGTTCAGCATTTGGCTAAAATTAAACTGATTTCAGAGGTGAAAACATAACCTCTAAGAAAAATCTTTATATAAAATGTATTTGAAGAAAATTATAACAGACAAACAACGGATCCTCAATCTGTCCCTGTGAGCCATCACAATAAATCACAAACAAACCTGAATTAGTCCTCCTAACGAGACCAATCCACATATTTCTCGGTCCAACCTCATTCTCCAAAAGACCGAAAATGAAATCGCTTTCATCTTGATTGGCAAAAGAGGCCAGGTGCCCCCCTCGTTTGTAGCACGCAAAGTTTGCCTCGGCCCAGTTCTCGTAGGCGTTGGAGTTGTAGTAGAAGCAGGACGTCCCGTACTCCAGCCAAGGCTGACCCTCGGGAGCATCTGGGCACCAGCCTGGCATGGGGGTGACCGTGGTGGGGGCTGGTACTGCGGAGATATAGAGGACTGAATCACCGTACATGTTATAATGAGGACATGGAAAATAATTCGGTAATATTTTGGAAAAATTCTCTTGAAATTAATGGCAATATTCGTGAGATCATGCATGATGCAGATCGTGCCATTGTTTAATGTAAGTCAGGACGCCACCGCAGAAATTAAAAAAAAAAGGTGTGAATAATTCATATGGATATATAATTTTACATGTAAGAAGCATAAACATAGTGAGGCGAACATTAGGCATGAAGTGAAGGTATTAAAAGAACGTTCTAAACATGTTTGATGGCGCGGGAGCATTATGTTCTGTGCTTCTACAGTGTAATTCCTTCTGCACATTCCTCATGGATGACAATATATTCCTCACAAATAAAACATCCCTCAAAGACAACAATATTTTCCTCATAGATAACAATATATTCCCCCAAGATACCTGTTGTTGTCATGCAGATAAACGGGAACTTGTCGTGGCAGACGGAGTTCTGCCACTTCCCGTCAGGTCTCATCACGCCGCAGGCCTCCCCGTTGCCCGTCCGGGGCTCGTTTTCTGCCCAGTTGGTGTAGTCGAGAGGCCACTCGTTTACCCACATAAAACGTTGCTGAAATACAGAATAAAAATTTTAGAATAAAAAATGATGAAAGGAGCAGAGTAGGGAATAAACAACAAAAGACAAAAAATAATAAACAATCGGTAACATGCACTAGAAAGTATCTGTATTCTAAGTTTAAAGTATTATGAAAGGCACAGAATAAGCGTAAGACCTTAAAATAGGGAAATCGGAAACAATTTCCTTAAATCACTAAGGTATACCAATTATGCAACTTTTAAAATAAAGTTACGATCTGCTAAAGAAAAAGCGATGGACTGTCAGAAATTAGTAAATTGTCTTGCAGCACATGAAGACTTCAAACTGAGCAGAAACTTACATATCCCAAATCCTTCAACCCCAGCCAAACTGGCTGCCCCTGAGTCTCAATCATGAAAGTCTGCAAGTTTGCCTCTGCCAGAGCATCTGGGACGAAAGCCAACAGAGTCTTGTCTTCCGTACACTGGCGGTGGGCGTAGGTCCACATTTTGGGCTCAGTGTACAGCTTGTAGCAGGTCTGGCCGTCGAAGGAGCGATAGCCCGGTTTACATGGGTGGGCGGGAGTACTGGCGGGTGTCCAAGGGGTTGGAATCTTGGCATCTATGAAGGAAATATATATACCTCTACTTGAGGTTTTTAAAACCTTCAAAAACTTACAACAAATTGATACGTTCTTAAGACACGAACTGAAGATGCACTAATTGTAAGAATTTTAAGAATCACACAAAGGGGAAAATGAATTTGATCACGAGAACTGTTGTACCTACAGCAATTTACCACACATTTTTATTAAGCTCCTCCTTTACTTCAAACACCTTATTCAAGACACATTATTATCAGTAAAAAGAGGGAAACGTTTTCAACTTGCACAGTAATCACTTTTAAGACTTTCTGAATTCATTTTAACGAATGTCAAGAATTTCTTGGAAATATGCAATGAAACATTCACTGAATGACAGAATGTTCTACCTTTCCAGGTTTGACAAATAAAAGCTGCGACATCGGAACATTTGGAGTCTGCCCACTTTCCTATGCTGCCCCTGGCTGCTCGTACTTGTACACACTGCTCATCGTCAGACTGAATTAAAAGAATATTAATATATTCAGCAATTGCAACTTTATGCTGTCTGTAACTGTTAAATATTGTTCACTGTAAAGTCATCATCAATGTTCTTGACCATATTAACTGTTATAGAAGTGCATGCGCAGTTGTGCATAAATATTTGGGAATCTGAAAACCAACAAAACTATTATATCAAGCGCATTCAGTGCTTTATGCTAAACACTCCAAGAGCAACAAGTCTGAACCTTGTCAGTATAGATGAAAAAAATATAAAAAATAAAAAATAAATAATATCTTACGCTCCAAGAGTTAGTGGGCTGATTCTTGCCCCAGTTAGTATAGATTATATCTTCATTTGACAACCAGCGGAAGAAGTGATGTTTGTAGTAGTCACTGAGTCCTATCCAGTAATCCGTCCCTTTGGCTTGTAGGTGGCTGGTTATAAAAGCTGAAAAGGAGATGACAGAGACGCGTACTTCGAGAATCATCAACAACAAACATCATATGCTGATTTATTCATATTTGGCAAATCAAGGCCACTTTCTTTTTTCAAAATGGGCTGGGTCCAGGAAAAATTCTCTAACTGTATTTTTTTCATGCTGCATTTGAGGTATTCTAATAAGAAATCTGACTGAACTTGTTCTAGAGGGTACTCTTACCTTGCTCCATAGGGTTTGTAATGCTGGCCAGCGTGAACCCCTTTCCCATATCTTGACAGGCTCTTGCAGCATTGGTCCAGTTTTTTCTCTCTGATGGGTCTTCTCCCATAAATTTGTAACATCTGTTGCCTATGAAATGTATATAAGTTAAAAATATTAGGCTAACTATCCATTCATTTTTCTTGGTATGCTTCAGATCTGAAGCTCAGTAAAAAAAAATTCAAGGGAATATAATAGTGATTAGTCTCTAGGCATATTTTGGTAATTAGGAAAATTGTACTGATAAAATTAATTCTGTTTTTTGTTTTAATGGAAAAAAAATAATCTGATTGAACACAAAAAACAAAAACATAAACAAAAATCAATGACAATTATTAAATAATAAATAAAAACTTAATAAACAAATATATAAATAAACAAGCTCCCAAAATGAAAACAAGAAATCAAACATAAGGCATAATGCAGCCATAATGTATCAGGCTGCATTCACAAAACCAGATGATCTGTGGACCAACTAGTCCCTGGATCAAATATGTGCCAACATTTAATTGCTCTACCCCTGTTAGATTAATGCACATGGGAGGCAGGAATCCATTGTAAAGTGTGCGCCATATTTGATCCACCGTCTAGTTAGTCCATGGTTGTAAAAACAGCCTAATTCATCACAATGACCATGTTAATCCAGTACCCACCAATGCCCTGGAACTCCCTGGGGCAGTTGCCCTGGATGGTGGGGGTGGTGGCCACTGTCCCTGGGGTGCTGCTGGACTTGTGCTTCTTACAGATGAATGGCAAGGGATCTCCACAGTTATCATCATTGAAGGTGCCTGAAACCAGTAGCACAATAATGTATGTGTGTGCGTGTGAACTTTGTATGTATGTATATTTGAATATTTAAAAAAGCACACACGTGCATGAGAAAGAGAGAGAGAGAGAGAGAGAGAGAGAGAGAGAGAGAGAGAGAGAGAGAGTGAAAGAAAGAGCTCTATGAACAAATAAATATACAGGATTATCACTGGATTAACAATGGCTCACCTGCCGACATCCCATCTGTCCCCGAGTAGATGTCCACACACCGCTGGTCACCAAACAGAGAGTTCGGCTCCCCCTTGGCCCAGTTGATGTAGTTCATGGGACTTCCATCAGTCCAACTAGGAAAAGAAACACAAAATTATCATTCCTTTTACCTACTGGTATCTACTAAGTGTATGCACCAGAGCATACTGAAAAAGCACCATTAAGTATGAAAATTTGGCTTCAAAATCCAAGATATCATTTGAAAATTAATGAGACAGTGAGGCCAAGATTGTCCCTGTGTGTGTATATGTGTGCATGTGCACACAATTTTCTACCTACTTCCCATAACAAATGAATTATATTTTGAGCAAAAACTTAATACCCCATGTGAATTATTTATGTTACATGTAATGGGCTACGGACAGTAATCTGTAGGCACATAGTGTACAGACAGTAACCTGTACCTCATTTAACAATAAAATTCACCTTGAATGGTTTAATATATATAAAACCCATAATGCTGATAATTCTTTTTGAAACTAGAGGATCAGAGAGGCGATACCGCCTCCGAATATTGTACCACCAGCTGGAGCAAGCGCATTCGTATAGACCCCCACATACACAAAATAAGGGACACAGCCACCAGTTTTGTGCTTGACAAGCTGTAAAAATGCAATCAACAAGAATTTTTAAACTTTTGCAAAAAATATATATGGTACAATCAAATTTAAGTTCTTCGTAAGATGTAAGATAGGTCAAGGGTCAATTTCAAGGTCACAGTAAATTGCCAGTATATGACTTCCTATTCAAGTTCAAGAGTAACTATGGACCTATCTCTGCCAGTTTTGGAGACAAAAGGAAAGCAAAATTTGCAAAGTTCAGTTCATGGTGAAAAGTAGGTCAAAGGTCAATTTTAAGGTCACATTTAGATTGCCAGTATATGACTTCCTATTCAAGTTCAATAGTAACTATGGACCTATCTCTGCCAGTTTTGGAGATAAAAGGGAAGAAAAATTTGCAAAATTCAGTTCATGGTGAAAAGTAGG